AAAAAATTCTGAAGTAATCAAAAATTTTCTTTTTGATTTACATAAATTGAAAAAGAACTTAATTCAATAATTTCAAAAATAACAAAGTACAAAAATGAACAAAGTACAATAGTAAATAGTATTAACACTACAATACTCCCCTTTCCAGAGAGTTATTATTATACAAATTGAAAGTAACTTGTTTCTTTTTAGTCGTTGTTGAAACTATATGGTTGTTAGTGTTATGTGGTTCTGTTATTTCAACTATTGCTGGCTTTAGTCTGTCAATCGAAATAATTTTAATTTCATTATTCACATCTACCTTAAAATATTTTTTGTGTTTTTCAATAACTCTGTAAGGCCCTTCATAAGGATGTTGAAGAGAATGCTTGTTAACAATGCGAATAAAAACAAATTTGCAAGTTTGTAAATCTTTTGGAACATAAATTCCTGAATCGGAATTTTTGTGATGTTTTAAATTTGATTTGATTTGAACTTGAAGTTTTTAAAACGTTCCCGTAAACTTCCTAAAATTTCGGCGGAAGTAACATTTTCCGTAGTTGGCACAACAAGTTCTCCAGGTAGACGCAAATTTTGGCCAAAAAGCATTTCAGCTGGAGTGGCTGCAATATCTTCTTTGTACACTGAACGCAAACCAAGAAGAATAATCGGTAGCTCATCGTACCAATCTCTAGTTCCATTCCTAGCCAAAATTGAAGTTTTCAATTGTCTATGGAATCGTTCCACAATACCATTACTTTGAGGATGATAGGAAGAAGTTGTGATATGATGACTACCAAGTAATTTAGTAAGTTCCGAAAATAATTTGGACGTAAATTGAGTACCCTGATCCGTCGTGATTTCTAAAGGCACACCGAAACGCGAAACATATTCATTAAAAAATTTATTTGCAACTGTCTGTGCAGAGATATCCTTTACAGCATATGCTTCCGGCCAACGAGTAAATCTATCCATAATTGTTAAAATATAGCGGTAACCTCTTGAAACAGGAAGCGGTCCAACAATATCTAAATGTATATGTTCAAATCTGCTCTTCGGAATTGGAATTGTGCTCACAGGAGATTTTGTGTGACGATAAACTTTAGATTTCTGGCAACTTATACATCCTTTTGACCATATGTTTATCTCCTTGTTCATACAAGGCCAATAATACTTCTTCACAATTAATCGGCGTGTAGCCTTGGTACCAGGATGAGCAATTCCATGTAACATATCGAACACTGTCCTGCGCAAATTATTTGGAACGAAAGGTCTAGGACTTTCTCCTGACACTTCACACCAAATATTAAAATTTAGAATAGGAATTTTAATTAAATTAAGATTTTGAAACGTTTGTCCAGAAATAAGTTTATTAAGTTCACTGTCCTGTTGCTGTTCACTCTGTAAAATTTTGAAATTGAGTTCTGAATTTTTAATCACATCTATTTCAAACGCACGAGATAACGTGTCACCTATAAGGTTGGTCTGTCCTTTAATATACTGTATGTCACTAGTAAACTGTGCAATAAACTCAAGATGCCTTGTCTGTCTTGGACTACGCTCAGTTTTGGAATTTAGAACAAAAATCAAGGGTTTGTGGTCAGTAAAAACCGTAAACTGTCTTCCTTCTAATAAATACCGAAAATGTTTAATATTCAAATAAATTGCTAAAAGTTCCCTGTCAAAAGCACTATATTTCATTTCTGCTGGAGAGAGAAAAGAACGCAAGTGGTTCAGACTTATTATTGAAATGCTGCTGTATGACACCACCAATTGCTGTATTGGATGCATCTACCGTTAAAGACAATTTTGCATCTTTACTAAAATGATTTAGCAAAATCTTAGATGCAAACTTCTCTTTAATGCATTCAAAAGCTTTAATGGATTTGTCATCCCAAACCAAAATTTTGTCTCGCTTTTTACTTGTTTTATTAATTAAATCATATATAACTCCAGTAAACTCAGCTAATTTTGAAATATATCTATGGTAATAGTTAACCATACCAATAAACTTTTGCGCTTGTTTTATTGACTTCGGTCGTTCAAAATTGCGAATCGCTTCTACTCTGTTTACAGAAGGCTGTATCCCTGCCTCAGATAAACAATGTCCTAAAAAATCTATTCTTGGAACACCAAAAATGCATTTGCTTGGTTTGACGTTCAAACCATACTCAGACAAACGTTCGAAAAGTACCCGTAGATCCTTTAAATGTTGTTCTTCACTCTCACTTGCAACCAGTAGATCATCAATATACGCGAAAACAAAATCTAATTTACCTACTACTTCGTTGATGAATCTCTGAAACGTTTGCGCTGAGTTCCTCACCCCGAAAGGCATTCGGGTGAACTCAAACATACCGAAAGGAGTAGTAATCGCCGTTTTAAAAATGTCTTCTTCTGCCATTGGAATTTGGTGATATGCTCTAACTAAATCTAACTTTGAGTATATATTTTTATTCCTAAGGTTCATATTAAAATCGTGAATATGAGGCAAAGGATAACGATCCGGTACAGTCACATTATTAAGTCTTCTAAAATCACCACAAGGACGCCAGTCATTAACTTCTTTCTTTGGTACTAAATGAAGTGGAGATGCCACGGGTGAATTTGATGGTCTACAAATCCCTGTTTTTACCAAAAACTCGAATTCAGTTTTAGCTACTTTAAATTTGATAGGATCTAAGCGCCTTGGCTTAGAAAAAGGAAGGTTTCCTTCAGTGGCAAGTCTGTGAACCGTTGTATGCTTAACCGGTTTTGAGTAATCTGGCTCAGAAATAAGGGAAGGAAATTCCTTCAATAATTTTGTATATTGATCATCTACTGAAAAAATTTTCGGAAGAGGGACATTGCAAAAGTACAAAATTGTATTAACTGATAGATTTGTTAACGGATCTACTAAACACTTGGTTTTAATATCAATAAGAAGTCCATATTTACACAAAAAATCAGCTCCTATAATCGGCTTCGCAATATCAGCAATCAAAAATGTAAAAAGGAACTCACGCCTTAAACCCAAATTAATATTCAAAAGTTTCTTCCCGTATGTAAAAATAGTTGAACCGTTAGCTGCCGTTAAAATTATATCTGAAGATTTCCTAGTATTCGAAAATTTAGAAACTGGAAGTACCGAAATTTCTGCTCCGCTATCAATTAAAAAATTTAGTTTGTTTGTTTTATCAAATATAAAAAGGCGACGTGTGGAAATGTCCAAATTCCCGTTGTTTGTCGCCGCAACAACGGACGACTTTAGTTTGTTGGACTATTATTTTTCGAAAATGCACATGGTTGTTCACATTTTTTAGCCTTGTTTCCAAATTTATAATGATATTTACATAACCAATTCGGATTGTCACGTGATTTTGATCGATATCTAAAAGGGCTCCTAAAACGATTCCTATTCACTGAACGTGACCTTGAATAATTTTGATTCATTTCCCTCCTCATTTCACATAATTCTAAAGAAAGTTTTTCAAAATTTTTAAAAATAAGAGAAGTAGTGTTAACCAAATTAGCCATGACAGCATTTTCACCTTTTGAATTTTGAAAATCATTAACTGAAGCTATCTCGCTTTTGCTAATAATCTCCCAAACATTATCAGCCAATTTCGTCAATTCACTAATACTGCTTGAATTAGAACTAGCTAAAATCACGCTTAGGTTCTTCGGTAACTTCCTCATCCAAAGTTTCTTAAAAATTTCTTGACTAAAATTGGAACCCGAAAGCAGTACAAGTGACCGATAAAATTCTGAGGGCTTACGATCACCCATTTCAGATCCGATAAAATTTTGTCTAATTTCGCATTCTCACTTAATGAATGCCTTTCAATTAAAATTTTCTTAAGTGAGGTAAATTTATTATTTTCGGGCGGATTTTGAATAAAGTCTAAAATCGTTATTATAACTTCTTGCGGAAGTGCAGTAATTGTATGTTCATACTTTGTTGTTTCTTGTCTAATATTTTTGGTACTAAACTGCATTTCCGCATGAATAAACCACGCTTCCGGACAACTTGTCCAGAATTGTGGTAGTTTGACCGATGTAGCACAAATCTCATTACTATTTCGATCGACATACGGATTTGTTAACTGTTCGTTAAACGTACTATTTTGTAAATCAATAAGAGTTTCATTTAAATTATCTCGTGTAGATGTATGTGTATCATGTTGTGGTGAATGAAACATTTTGATTATTTGAATTTGAGCAAATATCAAAAGACCTCAGAAAAGGGGAGTTTACAATTAAAAAATTAAATATTATATATGTAATATTTAATAAATAACAATTAAACTCTGTATTTAATTATTTTCAACAAAACTAGCGCTAAAGTTATACAATACAGCTCACCAGTAAAACAAAGATTGTTGTTGATGTTAGCGCTACTGCTGCGTTCGCTGCTGATGCCGCTACTACTGCGTGTGACTTCGATGCTCTAGCCTCGTTGCCTGTGTCCGCTTCTTCGTCTTCTTCCTCCTGCAGCAACAATGGCAGTGATGTTGGAGATGTTTTGTTTCGTTCTGTTAATGCGCTACTACCAGCTGGAACTTCTCCTATTACGCTCAAAGAGGAGCATTGAGCACCGCTCAAACTTTCCGGTTGTTGTTCTTGATCTTGAGAACGCTGCTGCTGCTGCTGGTTATGTGGTTGTTGTTGACTGGTTGATGTAATATCAGCACTTAAAATAGCTTCTCCAGTGACTGCTTCTAATGCAGATGCATCAATGATATCGGCAATTGTGCTAGTGTCGTTGAATGCGCATTGGTGCGTTTGAAGCTGTTGCTGTTGTTGCTCTACTAATTGTGATTGCTGATCTTCAACAAAAGGCAATGGGGATATTGCTTCCTGATGTTGCGGCTGCTGTGATTCAAGTGGTGGTGATAACGGTGGTGGTAGTAGTGCGTGTTGGAATATGCCAGCTGCTCGCAATGGTGCTACTCTTTTTTACTGCTGACTATTGCGACGCATTGCACTTCAACATTTTGGTGTAACATCTCATCATCTGTGGACTAGTACCGCGGAGCAACAAACCAAGTGTACAAAATCAATATATCAGCTTAATGTAATTTCTTATATTGCTCCTGGCAGGATCGCCAATTGTAGCGTATTTAATTATAGATTTGTATTTTTAAAGAAATTTTATTTTTATATAAACTTATTTTTAATTTAACGTATTTTAAATTTCAAAGAAGAAAAAATTCTGAAG